TCTGGTGAGACCCCACCTGGAATACTGTGTACAGTTCTGGGGCCCTCAGCACAGGAAAGTTACAGACCTGTTGGAAAGGGTCCAGAGAAGGGCCACCAAGATGATCAGAGGGCTGGAGCACCTCTGCTATGAAGACAAGGCTGAGAGGGTTGGGTCTGTTCAGCCTAGAGAAGTGAAGGCTCCAGGGAGACCTTGTAGCAGCCTTTCAGTACTTGAAAAGGGCCTACAGGAAAGCTAGGGGGAGGCTTTTCATCAGAAAAGATAGTGATAGGACAAGGGCTAATGGTTTTAAACTGAGAGAAGAGAGATTTAGGTTAGATATTAGGATGAAATTCTTCCCTATAAGGGTGTTGAGGAACTGGAATGGGTTGCCCAGGGAGGTTGTTGATGCCCCATCCCTGAAGTTTTTTAAGGTCAGGTTGGATGAGGTTTTGTGCAAACTGATCTAGTGGTAGGGTTCCCTGCTCATGGCTGGGGGGGTGGAACTTGCTGATCTTTAAGGTCCCTTCCAACCAAGTAATTGACTTGGTAGTGCAGTTTATTCTCCGTAAGTATATGAGTTGATATGAGACTAACCCACAATTAAGCATTTGCTTGCAAGCTCAAACATGCACTTATTTAGTATCTTAAAAGAGGGAGTAAGTAAATAACGTCAGGCAAAAAAAGGTCCTCCTCTGGTAAAAATTAAACTCCAGTGGATGCTAATGGATTCATTTTTCATGGTGTTAAAATACAGTGGGCATATTCACCATTGTTCTTTTACCATTGTAAATTAATCTACATCTTAACAGGAAGGTAAAATCCTTAACACCCAGATTTAATGTGTTTGTCTCCTTTTTTATTTTAAACCTATAAGATTTCTGTGGAGATGGAGGAGGAGATGCTTAAACCATTCTGTGAACAGAAAATATTCTTCATTGAAAATATAAATTGTCATAATTGTTCTAAAGCAAGAGCTGCATTCAGTTTTTGAGAAATAAGATTTCTTAATTAAACTCTGCCTTTGTTGAGGACATCAGAAAAGCTGCTGGCAGTGTGCATGCTAACTGCAATAATGCATCCTGCCATCACCACTGCCAAGGGGAAAAAAGCAACAAAAGCAGGCTGCAAGTGGCTGCTGTCACACAGGTTGCTGCAGAAAAGAGATTTGGGAAGCTGTTGCTGTGTCCATTCAGTAAAACATCTTTGAATTTTTTGCAACAACCTCTAATAACAACAAGTCAGAATAATTCTTTCCATGATGGGGCACTGTAGATTTTAACTCTGAAACTGTTCAACAGCGGAAGTGAAGGCACAACAAAAGAAGAACAATAAAAATCATTAGCACATAGTGAACTGTCCTTTGATTTTGATCCATGGTGAAGTTTTCTGGTTTGGAGGGGTTTTTTTCCCCCTGTCTCAAGGTGTTTAAGATTAAATAGAAACTGTGTTTTTCACATAATCACCTGGCTGTGGTGGTTAGGACTTTAAGAGAACTAACAGCAAAAAATCTATAATAAAATCGTGAGAGCTGGAAACTCTTTGGTGAGATCATCTGCTCTCATCCTGTTGCTTTGCGTTTTATTATTTTCCCATATTCTCTTGCAATTACCCTTCTTGTTCATCTGGGAAGTAAAAGGCATGCATGGGATGTAAAGGATAAGGGTAATTGCTGGTCCGTCTACCTGTGTCACTGTGGTGGGAGTTAAAAAATGTAATGTATACAGTGCACCTGTGGACAGGCAGTGTCTGTCTTCTGCTGGTGCTTCTGGATGATGCTGGTTGCTTCTGCTTTCTAGCAGATGTTAAAAAGGAAAAAAAGAATTAAAAAAAAAAATGGGGTCAAGAAGGATTTGAGAAAGCCATCTGAAACTGAGTCTGTTCCTGTAATATTATCAGGTGAGAATAGGTAGATAAAACACTGTAGATATACAGGGGCTGGCAGATTTCTTTTTTCAGCTCACTGCCTAGGTCTCTCAAAAAGGATCTAAAGATCAATTTATCTTTCAGCAAGGAGAAGAGATAAATTCCTTGCCAGACAGGATTGTCTGCTTCATCTTGGAGATATTTACCTTGAGGTCGTATAGAGTACTCATTTTGACTATTGCTTATAATGACTTGCATTGAGAATAATGAGTCATTATATATGACTCCATCACTAAATCTGAGTTGCTTTTCAATTAACATCAAAGAAATACCATGTCTTCTTGTCCAGTTCTCCAGTTTTTTAAGCACTGTTCTGCTAAACCACTTAACTGTTACTTATTTTGATTTGTAGATCCAGAATTCTGTGATATATACTTATTAGATGATCCAGTAAAAAATACATTATTAAATTACTGGTCATGAATAAAAGTTTTTATCTTGCTAAGGTCATGTAGGATGTAAAGGTAAAAAATGCATTCTTAGGAGGATGATTAAAAAAAGGTTCTAATAATCCACAGGAAAAAATTAAAAATAAAGTTGAAGTTGTTATTTTTAATGGGGAGATAAAACCAAGCACCACTTTTGACCATTTATTAGTCTACAGAGATCTACTTTGCACAATGAAAATGTTAATTAGTATCACATCATTAGTCGTAAATTCCAGATTTCAGTTAAACATTCAAGGGAAAGAACCATGGTTTTTGACAGTTTTGTTCAGATCTCTAACAAATGAAACTGTTAAAACTGTGTCCATGTGAGATAAAAAACGACTAGAATCACAAAATCACAGAATTATCAGAGTTGCGAGGGACCTCTAGAGATCATCTACGTCCTCTGGATCTTCATGCTATGATAGTTATTATTTTGCTGTGTTTGGACACAAGTGAACAAAAAAATGAGTGATTCATACCCTGTCTCATAACACATAACCTGAAATACTAGGTGAAGTGCATAGCTATCCACCAAATTATTTTCATTCATATATAATTTTGCATAGCTGGTAAAGCAGGATTAACTTTAAATGATGCTTTTGGTGAAAATACAAATGATTGTGTGGTTTCTTGCTAGAAACTAGATGCTATTTGTGAATTTAGAAAAATTAATAGTATGCGTATAAAGAAAAACTTTGAAAGTCTTGTAAGTTTTTTCCCTTGAAGCAGCAGGTGTAAACAGCTGGTGACAGTGAGTTGATTGTACTTTGTTTTCCTATTAAGTGCTTCTTTGAGCTAGCAGTGATGCTAAACAATAATTTATTCAGGATTCTTTGGTTGTAGAAACTGTACTTCTCCTGCCAATACTTTTTAAAGCTCTAGATTTATTAATTTTGTTTTAATAGTTTTCTTTAGTCTTTTAAGATGCCATTTTAATATGTGAAAAGCAAGTACATTTATACTGGTCAGTTTGGAAATGCACATTGATAGAATGCATTGATAGGAATAGTGCTTGTGAAAGAGGGACTCACTTTTCATTTTTAAAATACAAAAATACTTTTGAGTTGCCTGATTAAGTTTATTGGGTCAGTACATTAAAAAAAAAGTACAGTTTATTGTTTTTAAATTAAAAAAAAATGTTTTCTGAAAACTCTTACATAAACTTTTCCTAATGTAAAAATTCACGAAAACTTTGCAGTTATAACAAACAAAAAAGTGTTGCAATGTGCTTACATGTTGATTATCAAATGTTTATATTATTTCTTTCCATACCTCAAAAATTTTACAGTATTAATATTTATAGTAACTGTTGCTATGGTATTTACAGTTTAATCTTATATTTTTAGTTTATATGGGTTTATTGTTTGCTATGACTATCTGAGTATTACAAAAAAAAAACACCTTACCATTTTCATAATAATTTAATTGAACCGAGCCTTTATGGAAAACATCAGAGCATTCCACTCAGAGGCAGTTTTGTTTGTTAGTGTTTATTTTCACCTCCCCTTAGGATACTGTAAGTAACCCAGCATGATTGATTGTGAGAGCAATTATACACAAGTTCAAGGAGGATTTTATCTTCTGGCAATTGGGTTGCATAGAAATAGTTTCTATCTTCCTTAGAGGTTCGCCTATTCATTTCATGACATATCTGTCTCAAAGTCTTTATGATTTTAGTTCATTACTGCAAAGCTAAAAACATGAGACAATATAGAAGCTTTTAATACCGATCCCCCCACAAGTTTATGTACTGGAGTTGGGCCTAATAGTTTGTTTAACACAATACCAATATCACACAGAGGTAGTGCTGTTGATTTTTTTAAGATGTGACTTCCTCTTCCTCAGCACTGAACCAGTTGTGCAGGAGCTTAGTTTGTGACTTGATAAGGCACCAATCCTTGAGATGAAACATAAAGTTGTGGCTTGGCAACGCCTTCCCAATTCTTGACAATTTTCATACACAGATACTATTAAATAGGGTAGCTTAATTGTTTAGCTGCCTGAATTTACCATATACTTTCAGATTACTAAGAGATTTTTCAGGTTTTTCTCATGTGTGGAAGGGCTTTGTCTTGGCCTGACTGTGGGTGTTATTCCAGGGTAGGTGCCAGAGGGCAGCTGAATTGTATCCACTGCTAGATTGGTAAAATGTTTTGGAAACTCTTCAGATGACACTGTTACAAAATACTATAGAAGATAAGTTGATCACTTCTGGTAGAGAGTGAAAGGAGACAGACCGTGTCCTCCAAGTGTCTTTAAAACTTACATGTAAGTTACTAACGTATATGAAATACGTAGGGCTTTTAAAAATGTTTTGTTAGTTTCTGTGTGGCTCTATGCTTGTTGCTGAACTTGAAAATTTTTCACAGGGCTTTACCTAGTCTAAGTCTTTTGGTATGGGTGTTTGGGGTGTTCTTTTTTTCCTGTGTTTTACTTCTGTTAATTATAATGAAGGATGTTGGAGACAGAGACCAGGATATGCAACTGGCCTAATAATGCTCTGCGATGAGATTTTTCTCCATTGCCATAAGGACCCATCCCATCGTAGTACGTAATTTTAAAATGGCAATACTGCCTCACCAAACTTCCTCCTACAGTGAGAGAAGTAGGGATAACTCTTGGAAAAAGTTTTGAGGCTAGTGACAAAATATGTTTGTCTTTCAGATCCCCAGCTCAAGGGTATAGTGACCAGGTTATATTGCAGGCAAGGCTACTACTTGCAAATGCACCCCGATGGAAGTCTCGATGGAACCAAGGATGACAGCAGTAATTCTAGTAAGTGACTGCCCCAGGGGAATGTCTTAATCACACACACAGATTGCATCTCTTGAGTGTGTATGTGCAGACATGGTGTTAATGCCTTTGGAGGGTTTCTGAATGTGTTTTGTTGAAAGGAGGAGGGTTCTGTCCATTTGAAGCCTTATGACCCCCAGCATGCCACGTGGAGGACATTGGCCTAAATATGTTCCCTCTGAGGAGGAAAGCCTGAGTGTGGATGGACCTCAGGGGTGAGGTATTTAGGCCAATGGATGTCTTCTGGTAATTGTATAAGATTTTAAAATTACATTTTAAAATTACAATTATTATTTTTTATAAAAGTTGTATATTTAACATAAATTTATTATCTTCCAATAAATACCAAACAAAATAAACAAAAACAAAAAAGGAAACAAAACTTATTTGAAAAATCTGATTCTGTAGGCCCTGATTTATCAAAGCAAGTACATATATCTCTGTCA